GAAGTGTAGCCTACTACACGCTCATGCTCCGAGTCAGCACCACAATTTGCCGATTTGATGCAGTCAGAGCATTCCTGTGAGTTTGGCTCAATTTTATACAGAACAACAAAACAGTGTGAGAGAAAGTGTCGCTCTTGGTTGTTGCTTTGATGCTGCAAGTCTATGTAGCGTTGCCAAGTGGAAAGCAGAAAAGCTTTGCCATTGCGGAGTCCTCCAAAGTTGGGGACCTGAAACGTTTGGCCCAGAAGTCTTTTGAACAAGGCTTCCTGAGGCTTGTCACTGCAGAAGGGCAGGTCCTACCTGATCTGACGCTATCCGTATCCCTCCAAGCTGTGGTGCTCGAGGCGGGAGATCACCTGACAGCCGTTGTGCAACAAGCAAAGATGGCTGCAACCAGCGCAGCTTTTGCCATGCGGTGCTATGGAGGTGACACGATCATTACCTGGGGCGATCGAGAACACGGTGGTGACATTACCTCTGCGGTCCAAGATCAGCTTTGGAATGTAGCAGGTTCAGGCCACAGATCACGCATTTGCTGCCATCTTGGCAGATGGATCTGTCGTTACTTGGGGTGACCCATGGGATGGTGGTGACAGCTTTGCAGTCCAAGATCAGCTCAAGAACGTGCAGCAGGTTCAGGCCACAGATCGTGCATTTGCTGCCATCTTGGCAGATGGATCTGTCGTTACTTGGGGGAGCCCAAAAAATGGTGGCGACAGCTCTGCGGTCCAAGATCAGCTCAGGAATGTGCAGCAGGTTCAGGCCACATATAGTGCATTTGCTGCGATCCTGGCAGATGGATCTGTCGTTACTTGGGGGAGCCCAAAAATTGGTGGCGACAGCTCTTCAGTCCAAGATCAGCTCAAGAATGTGCAGCAGGTTCAGGCCACAGATCGTGCATTTGCTGCGATCCTTGCAGATGGATCTGTCGTGACATGGGGCAATCGAGGATACGGTGGTGACAGCTCTTCAGTCCAAGATCAGCTCAAGAATGTGCAGCAGGTTCAGGCCACAGAAAGTGCATTTGCTGCGATCCTGGCAGATGGATCTGTCGTGACATGGGGCTATCAAGGATACGGTGGTGACAGCTCTGCGGTCCAAGATCAGCTCAGGAATGTGCAGCAGGTTCAGGCCACAGATCGTGCATTTGCTGCGATCCTTGCAGATGGATCTGTCGTTACTTGGGGGAGCCCAAAAAATGGTGGCGACAGCTCTGCGGTCCAAGATCAGCTTTGGAATGTAGCAGGTTCAGGCCACATATGTGCATTTGCTGCGATCCTGGCAGATGGATCTGTCGTTACTTGGGGGAGCACAAGACATGACAGCTCTGAGGTCCAAGATCAGCTTAGGAATGTGCAGCAGGTTCAGGCCACAGATCACGCATTTGCTGCCATCTTGGCAGATGGATCTGTCGTTACTTGGGGTGACCCATTAGATGGTGGTGACAGCTCGGCGGTGCAAGATCTGCTCAGGAATGTGCAGCAGGTTCAGGCCACAGATCGTGCATTTGCTGCCATCTTGGCAGATGGATCTGTCGTTACTTGGGGTAACCCAGGACATGGTGGTGACAGCTCTGCGGTCCAAGACCGAATTGCACATTTGTAGTGTCCAGGATCAACTTGCGCAATGTCTCCACTTTGATTGCTGGACTTATATCACAGCCTTTAGATTTGCTTAGGAAGCAGGATGACAATGTGAAAGATGTGGCCGCAGCGAAAAGAGTTGTTCGTAGTTCATACCAGTTGCGCTTTCATTGTTTGCATCTAGGGATATTTAGGGATGTGTGAAGAGAGCCTATGAACCCGACATTTTAACATATCTTAATATGTTCTGGTGGAAATTGATATATGCTCAACTGATCTCCACTGATTCCTTCGCTGCATCGCATCCTCCATATTACGGAGACTCCAAAAATCAACAGCTCTTCAACGTCTTGAATAAATGGGAGATTGGACATGGATACTACTTTTGGGACTTGGGACCATCAAAATGGGAGGAGATAAGCACCGCGCTATGGCAAGTGTTTTGTTGTGAAGCCCAGGGCTTCAGGGTTTTGACATGTTTTGACACGTAGCCATATGACGTGCATTAATTTGTGCGAATGCGCATCTCGCCACCCAAACGTGAGGACACGTAGCCATTAAACATTGGGATTTCACAAGCCAAAATGGGCATGGCGACCCCAGATCAAATTGGGTCACTTGACCAGAAATTGTTTGTATTTAATCACATAGTAAGGGAAAAACAGAGCAGCACATATCAGATAGGCTCTGGCTGGAAGGAATTCACCATAATTCACCAAAAGCTGGAAAATCACCAGCAAACTAGAAGGATAAACTGCTAATATAACCAACCAAGACTGACTTGGAACTATTTTTTGGACTAGATTGAGCGGCGACTGAACATGGGAGGTGACACATTGCTGATGAAAAACAGATGCCGAGTTGGTTTCAAGATCAAGATGTTCTCCAACATTTGATTAATTAGATGTGGTATTTCAAGATCGCAAGTTCTTCAACCCGAAGTGTTTTTGTTCCAATAAATGCCCACTAACGTTCCAAGTTGGTTTCCGAACATCCAGTAAACAGTTCCAATATAAATCACCATTGCTCCAACAAACAAAAACATCTGGTTGGTGGTTTCAAACATTTTTCATTCTCCATCAGATATGGGATAATCCTTCCCATTGACTTTCATATTTTTCAGAGGGGTTCAAACCACCAACCAGATTATTATTATATAACCACCATTAACCATATAATAACCATTAATATTAACCATGGTTTTCTGGGGTAGGTCAACCACCAACCAGTATCCCATTAATCATTCATATCCCATCATATAGTCCATTATATAGTCCATTATATAGTCCATTATATAGTCCATTATATAGTCCATTATATAGTCCATTATATCCATTATATAGTCCACTATATAGTCCATTATATAGTCCATTATATAGTCCATTATATAGTCCATTATATAGTCCATTATATACCATTATATAGTCCATTATATCCATTATATAGTCCATTATATAGCATCACATACCATTATCAATTAACCATATAATAACCAGTAGGTCAACCACCAACCAGTATCCCATTAATCATTAATATCCCATCATATAGTCCATTATATAGTCCATTATATAGTCCATTATATCCATTATATAGTCCATTATATCCATTATATAGTCCACTATATAGTCCATTATATAGTCCATTATATAGTCCATTATATAGTCCATTATATACCATTATATAGTCCATTATATCCATTTTATAGTCCGTTATATAGCATTACATACCATTATCAATTAACCATATAATAACCATTAATATTAACCATGGTTTTCTGGGGTAGGTCAACCACCAACCAGTATCCCATTAATCATTAATATCCCATCATATAGCCCATTATATAGTCCATTTTATAGTCCATTATATAGTCCATTATATCCATTATATAGTCCACTATATAGCATTATTTACCATTATAGTCCATTATATACCATGATATAGTCCATTATATACCATTATATAGTCCACTATATAGCATTACATAGCATTATATACCATTACATACCATTATTATCAACCAGAAAAACCATGGATTTTCCCATGGTCCCATGATAAATTTTCGTGATCCTCTGGCAGAAGTGAAGTGAAGTTTCTGCCAGGTTTCCGGTGGATTTCAAGGATCCTCTGAACATCATCGCGCTGATTTACGGGTCTCGTTATTTCCGGCGTTCCATTGCGGGGTTGCGGGGCGGTGCCCGGCCGATCTCATTGAATTTCATACATGGAGGTTTTCTAAAATGAGGCAACTCCTGAATCATTCGTTCTAAATCGTTTTAGATTGGGATTTTCCATGAAATAAACCATCCAGCTATTGGGTACCCCCATTTATGGAAACCCCCATATGGGAATTGATGGAAAAGAAGATAAGTTCATAGTCCATCAATGTCTATCGTATGGGATTTGATGGAGAATCCCTAGGATACTCGGTGGGATTAACTTAATAACAAACAAAAAAAGATGTGAATTCATGGGCGAAATCATGATGGTGTGTGGTGGGTGTGTAAAGGAACCATGGCTTGAGCCACACCTTCTGCGTATGGACATCAACATGTCGGAGAGAAAACGAATGGAAAACCGTGTCACTCTGGTTTAAAAGAATGTATGTTGTCATATTTTGTCAGATCATGTCAAGGACTTGGGGCCTTGAGGCATGTTTTTGTTGTACCCGGTACGTCATCGTGTGAGGTATTTGCCCTTTGTCATTCCATTGGTGCCGGGCACTCGGATCACTTGGATCTATGGATTTTTGAGTCTCGCTATTGGGGGCTGTTGATATTAATATCAACATTATTAAATTGTTATTGGTAATGATATCATATCATATCTAAGGTGATATATTACCTAAACATCAATAGACGTCAGATTTATTTGGGGCATGGGATGAAACTCACCTCACCTGGTGATAGCAATGAGGTTTTTCATCGATATGGTCGTGGAGCGTTGTTTCATCGCCTTCTATGGTCTCGTCGGGGCCCTGAATGGAATTGCTGACAGGGACGAAAGCAGGAGGTTTTGAAGTAGCTGATTTGATGTTGGCATCCCAAGGATTTGAGGATAATTTCCAATGGGTTTCCAATATGGATCAGACTGTTACCATAATCCTTGGGCCTTTTCTTCCGCACTCAACCTGAAGCCAAGGACTCTTTGTTGTTTCGAATCCAAGGGCTTTACGGCGTTCGCAACACTTGGTGGTTCACCCTAGTTAGTACACGTGGGTTAGCTCACCCCAGTCAAAAGTGGAGTCACTCTAGTTAATGTCTAATGTCAACATCGTTTTAATAACCCATCCTCGAACATGAAGGGACCATTTTGAGGCCAGACAAAGGTCCGGGGTCCATGTCGTTTTTTTTCACATCTCAGTATTTCTGCGGCCAACCACCCAGGTTCACCATGGATTAATCAAGTGGTTCACCATGAAACAAACCATCTAAACAGGAATTAGCTGACCAGTCAAGGCTTCAAGGAAAATTCACTCAATTTACCTGTTGGAAGGAAGTACTGTGGATTCCATAATACTATATAAACATCCATAAACCATATCCAACTATGAACCGCGTTTGTTTCCAAAGTAGGGGGCATATCCAACAAATCACGTTGGATAGTTCGTTTTGGTTTTGTGGATCCCACCTTTTTTCGTGGGTCGAGGATGTCAGGTTTGGGATTTCTTCCAATATAACAAGGAGCTTCCACCGCTGTTGTGTGCTCCAATAGTTCGCTGAGATGGGAAACTCATGGAAACTCCTAACGTTTGAAATTCCTAAGATATAACTGGTTGGTGGTTTGGAATTTTATGGGAAAACCATGGGAAAATGGTGATTTACATAGTAATTCTGTCTAGTTGGTGGTTTGGAACCATGGACTTTTATGACTTTCCCATCATATTGGGAATTTCATCATCCCAACTGACGATTCGTCCATCATTTTTCAGAGGGGTAGGGCTCAACCACCAACCAGTCATGGGACAGATGCAAGTTGTTGTGTTTTTTCCTTCCCCTCAGGCCGTCTCGGGTGTTGTGACTTTGATCAACGAGGCGATGGCTCGGTCGGTGGTCAGTTCCCCAAGTGACCATAGGTTTCAATAGAAAAAATCGCCTGACTTTGGATGATTTGGGGATAACCCAATTTTTGGAAACCTCCATATCTATTGGATGAATTTCATTGGGGGAGGTACCCTCTGGTAAACTAACATAACTATGGAAAATCACAACTTTTTAATGGGTAAATCCACTATAAATGGCAATTTTCAATAGCTATGTTAGTTTACCAGAGGGTACTCTAGATGTGAATGATCACTTGGACTTTCAAAATCCTTGAAATTGATATTTTCACAACCTGGAAACAGACATAAGCTACCAAAAATGGAGATAGCAAGCAGTAAAACTGGGCATGCCACTGTTGTTAGTAGATGTTTATAGTTTATAGAGATTAATAGAGATGGTTTAGCGGGAACAACTCAACATGGGCTTATTTCCCATTTGAGCATTGGTTATCTGCATCTACCAAAAATATCCAAAAGAGTGATATGATCAACCACTTGAAAATTGCCTAGACTAAATACTTTGCTACTCAAGTAGCTGCTACTCGAGATACCCTTCAGAAAATTCAATTTTCTGCTGGTTGGTCAATTTTCCATTTACGTCAAAAACATGAGCCAGAAATTTAGGAAACCAAAGCTTTCCTAAGCCACAAATCCCTGAAAGTTGATTTGTTTTAACACCCCAAAGTAGTGACAATTCCCAATTCATCCAGGGTAATGCATAGGTCGGCTGCAAATGCCTCAGCCAAACTGTTTGGGCCTTTTTGGGGTTCCCAAAGGCCCTAAGGTTGACCCCCGAAATAATGAAGCTGGGGAAACAGACTAGTTGGTGAATTTTGGTTGGATGTACCCTGGTTTCACAATCAAAACATGTGTATTTTTTTGGACAGAAGAATTCGGATTTGGTCACCAAAGAAGCTTGGGTATAGTTTAAGATGCGACTTGCTTGCCATAATTTTGGGGAATGTAGTACTCAAATACATTCTAATTTTCCTCAAGAGTCTCTAAGATTGGCCATGGAGATGGAGGGACTTGTTGTGACTGACAGGGGCAGCTTGATCTAAACACCAAAATGGTTGGTATCTAAGTGGATTGGTCAGGGCAACTCAGCGCTACTGTAAGATGTACGGTGTGTTTGGAAATATGTGTTTCTCTTTTAAACATATATTTAGTTTGTTTTGTTTTGTTTGTTCAAATGATGATAAAATGAAGCATATTATGATATATATATACACATCTGTTGTATATATATATATATATATACATGTTGTATATATATATATACATTATATACTGTACATATATATATATTTATATTATATGTTACTCCCCCTCCTTTTACCGTAGCGCCAAGAAAAAATATTCTTTTTCTTCCACGTTAACTAAAGTGACAATTCGGAGGTTTACTTCCATGTTAGTTGCAATGGGGGGGTAAACTGCAAATTTGTGTTCTTTGGATCTGAGCCCTTTTTTTTGGCTCTTTTTGCCACGAGTTCCCCGGGAATCCTGGGCATTTGTTGATTAACGTAGAAATTTTGATTTTTTCAAGATAAAGCTGGGAATGCCTCCATTTTTTAACAACCAACGATTGGAACGGATAACTTACATAGAAATTTGCTACTTGAAGTAGGATCTGGGCAGTGCCGTGTTAGCGAGCGCTCGGTCCTCCTTTTACCGTAGTGCCAAAAAAAAAACTTCCACGTTAACTAAAGTGACAATTCGGAGGTTTACTTCCATGTTAGTTGCAATGGGGGGGGGGTAAACTGCAAATTTGTGCTCTTTGGATCTGAGCCCTTTTTTTTGGCGAGTTCTTTTTGCCACGAGTTCCCCGGGAATCCTGGGCATTTGTTGATTAACGTAGAAATTTTGAACTTTTCCAGATAAAGCTGGGAATGCCTCCATTTTTTAACAACCAACGATTGGAACGGATAACTTACATAGAAATTTGCTACTTGAAGTAGGATGTGGGCAGTGCCATGCTAGCGAGCGCTCGGTCCTCCTTTTACCGTAGTGCAAAAAAAATCTTCCACGTTAACTAAAGTGACAATTTGGAGGTTTACAAGTTTACTTCCATGTTAGTTGCAATGGGGGGGGTAAACTGCAAATTTGTGTTCTTTGGATCTGAGCCCTTTTTTTTTGGGCTCTTTTTGCCACGAGTTCCCCGGGAATCCTGGGCATTTGTTGATTAACGTAGAAATTTTGATTTTTTCAAGATAAAGCTGGGAATGCCTCCATTTTTTAACAACCAACGATTGGAACGGATAACTTACATAGAAATTTGCTACTTGAAGTAGGATGTGGGCAGTGCCATGTTAGCGAGCACCAATTTGGCACCATTGATTTCGAAAGGTTGCATCCTCAATCGCTCGGACATGACAGGGGTGAGAAGATAGATGCAAAGAAGAAAAAAATGATGTGGCGGTCAGTCTGGGGGTTTTAGGGATCGCCCTAGAAGGATGTATTCAACATGAGGGGAGAACATGTTAACATAGAAGTTGCCAACCTGATGTCTGGACCCTCAAGTTACTTCCACGTAAGGGTTTTTAGCCTCAGTTTTCACACTTCCATTATTCATGTTACTGACATATTTGATGAGCTACTTCCATGTAAGAGATTCACGGTCAGTTTTTCTGCATCTGCTGGCCCGGTAGCCCAGTTTCACTTTTTCCCCAGGAATTGGACGTAAACGACTTCCATGTAAACCGACAGGTTTTTCCATCCTGACTTCCACGGTAAAAGGACCCGGTGTATGTATATATATATATGTTATATGTTATGATATATATATATTCACATTATTCATTAGTGTATAGTGGTCTCTTTATTTGTACTAGTTGTTTGTAATCAAACCTTTGACTGCTGGAAGAAAAAGCACATAGGAAAATCATGTGCAATTAGTCACTGTACCTATGATTCCCAGTTAGACCACCAGTTCTGTTGGCAAAAATCATGTATTTGTTGATATATCTCAGCCAAAACCTCATGTTGGCTGTGTTTTTTCTCAGATCCTATACCTTGCGATTAAAAAGATCACCACAACCATGTTTGAGGGTCCTTTCACCACAAGCCGATTTTCATCATGATGCTTGAAGCCCCGAAATCCTGAAGGTATTGAACCCAACATCATCCCAAAGTCGGAAGATAGATTTATACATCTGCAGCACGATTTCCGGAAACAACAAAACTGTGGAAACGGATTCATTGAAACCTGTCAATGGATTGGTGGGAAAATCGTAACCTGAAACCATATTTTTTCCCATCAAATATATGGTTTTTTTGCCATTTTTCCATTAAACCAATCCATTGATACTTGATGACTGGAAGACTTTGGACATTTGAGACATGTCAGGTCATCTTGAAGGAACTCTTGAAACAGCCACGCCCCTATGGTTCCGCCAACCGAAAGCAGGGCAGCCCCAGAAGGGCCTTGGACACCGGGACAACCTGGACATGGGAGAAATGTCTTGGATTTCCCAAGTTTGTGGCTGGTTTTTCTACACAGATGTTCGTTTTTTTTTTGGGTGGTTATAAATGTTATGAGTCATGAACTTCCTCACTTTCTTCAACTTGATTTGTTCACTTAGCGCGAGTTTCTTCAGGGAGTTTTCTGGGATATGACAGTTTCAAGATTTAGAACCCCCAAATCCCGTGCAAAAAATAGATAGCAGTTGAGGGAAGCCAAGAATTGGTGATGTTCCACACTTTCCATGTCATTATATGCGTTGTTCCATTGGAAAGCTTTGCGTTGAACATTGATCATTAGTGATATAGTGATGTTCATATATTAATCACAATTCAATCATGAATGATGGGGTGGATGCTATGATTGCTATGATTTTGGCTCGATGTCAGAATCTGTTTGATGTTGCTGGTTCCATTTTCGTCATTTTCCATCGTTTTCCATCTTGGAATGATCCAAAATTGGTGAAACAAACGCCATCACAGGCCATAAAAAGAATCACTTAGCACTGTGATGGGTGGAATATCATGGGTAACACTTACTTTTTTTTTCCATAGTTTGGCATCGAAATGAGTATTCCAACCTTTTGGAATACCACAATGTTTATAGATTAATGCAAGGATTCAGAGATTTGACTAAGGCCATGCAACTAAAAGTTTGACCACTTCAAGAAATATGGAAAGCCAAACTGCGGCAAAGTTAATATTGGAAGAATTTTGTTCTGTTTGGTGATGGTGGTTTTAAAAGTATGTTTTGTTTCCACCCATTTGCATCTTCATTTGAGAGATGGTGATACTCTCTGGCATTCTGGCTCAAGTCGCTCTCCAATTGACGTGTCAGAAAACTCTATCTGACATTGAATTTCCATATTATCACACATTTTCCATGTTCGTACGGCTTGAAATCGCCACTGTTCTGCTGTGGGTTGTTTCTGTCTCGGCTGTGGCTTTGCTGCAGCGACATTTGGAGATCGAAACTCCCCTGATGCGACGTCTGAAAGCTTCGCCCATGTTCTGGCTGCACATCCCAAAGTGCGGCACCAGCTTCGCCAATACAGTAATGCATATGCCGAACATGTGCCCGGGTTTGGGGGAGAATTTGAGTTTCTGGATGAATCTTCATGAAATTGTTTATTTCTGCATTTGGTTTCTAACTTATTTCTAACTACTTCTGCCTGTTCATTGCTGTAGCTAGATGTATGCCGGTATAGTCGGGTATAGTGGGATTCAAAACTCCCCAAAACAAGACCCAGTGGCTGAAGGATGATCCGATATGATCCGATGCTTCCAAGGTATCGATGATGAGCAGTTCGGAAAGTGCTTCGAGCGTACCCTGCAGAAGAACTGCCTGCAGTGGTGTGATCAGAGTCTTATTCATTGTAATTGGCCAATACAAGCTCATCAGTTTTTGTCAGATGAGAAGTACGAGGAATACAAGGGCAAATTTGTGGCACTTCTACGTCAACCCGAGCAGCGTTTGCTATCTGCCTACGCTGATGATGGTGACCTGTTCCGAGCAGAGCCCTATATCGGCATATGTGCTGAAAATCGCACACCTGAACGAATCCTGTCACTGGATGAGTTTAAATCCAAATGGGCTCACTGGGCGACAGGGCAGATCGTCGGCCATCTTCCAGCTACCTTAGCAGATGTCCCAGTGGCGCTGCAAAGATTGAGAGAAGGCTTTGCATTTGTAGGTTTGCAGGAAGAGTGGGACCTGTCTGTATGCCTCTTTCATACCAAATTTGGAGGGCCCTGCCGCAACTTGGAATTTCTGGATACACGGCCGAGTGACAGAGCCACCGGAAACACAAGCGAATACGATACCTCAATACTGGATGGGTGGGTGGATGAAATTGATGGTCCTGTCTATACAGAGGCCCAACGCTTGTTCTATGATGATTTGAAACGGTACGGTGTTTCGCATGAGACTTGCCAAGCATGTTATCAAGAAGCCAATGTGGCATGACATTCGTGGAATCTATCAACTGTGCCGTGAAAAATACTCAGATGAGTTGGGACAAGTGAAGACACCCGAGCAAGCAAAGCTGTATGAATTCGAATTGACAGCTGGTTTCAAAGCTATGTTTTCTCATACTTGTAGGGTCTGGTTATGCCATTCCAAGTTGCCTCTAATATTGAAGCCAGAGAAATCCAAATGATATATGTAGTTAGTCCACATACCGCCATCAAACATAGATAGATTTAGGCTCGGAAAGTCTGCACAGACTTAAATTCATGTAGATTGGATAGATATAGAATGTACGGATAGATGGATGGACAGATGGATAGACAGGTAGATAGGTTGGCCGCTGATCCAGAGGTCCGCAATGGTACCCCAAAAAGATCCAAAGGTCGTCTATTTGCGGTGAAAGTGGATCCGGTTGCCAACTTCGCCCAGTTTCAAAGTCAGTCATCCAATGAGGATGAAATTTGGGAATGGCAATGGCTCAACGAAAAAAGATTGGACCCGAAGAAATGAATGGGTTTCATTTACTAAGCACAACCAATTCCGTAGGTCCATTGGTACCCCATAAGTTGTTTATTGTTTTTGTGCACCCTTGGGCCATATTCCATCCAATTATTTTGCATGTTAATACATGTTAATACCACCACCATTTATAGCTACTTTCTCTGAATGGGATATGCAGTTATCTACCCAGTTTGGCATCACAGGTTCAACGAAAAGACGAAGAAATGGGAGATGAAGCCGGGAATGCCTTCAGGGCACGTGCTGAATGCCACCACAACTATGGCCCCTTGGCCGCGAAGCGATTGGAAAGGGATGGGGAGCCCCTAAGACGGTTGAGTTGGTGAAACCATGCTTTGGTGATAGATATAGGGTTAGAAGAGGTTATAAACCAACCTACAACTGGGGGCACCACATAGGGTAGATTGGTTGCATCGTCAGTTCCCCTCTATTTTTGCTGGGTCTCTACAGGTCAGATCCACCAAATTTGATGATTGTCCCAGCCGTTCAAGCCTCCATTTGTATTGTCCAGCCATGTTTGAGTACCGGGTAGATCCATTCATATCCTCATGAGCCAACCTGGAACCGCTGAACGCGGCAGGTTTGGTGTTTGCTGGAGGCCGGTTTCTACGGCGATGTTGCTCAGTTGCTGGGATATAGCATGATTCCCTGCAACGTTGCGGATGTTTACATGTAAAAAGACACCTTGTTCAGAATTTGGCAATGTGTTTTACCATGTCTTTACCATGGTTTCACATGTGTTTTGATTATGTTTTTTCGTGTGTTGTTGTTTTGTTTTGTCCTATTCACATGACTTCAAATTGACCCATCACATCACATTCCAAGTTTGTAGCATGACCACCCTTTGTGAATCCGAGCTTCGAAATACAGATGTTGGTCTTCAGCATTCAGTCTTTTTCCTGGAAATGTTTTTTTTTTCCCCTGTTTGCTCATGCAGAATTGATCTAGGGGAAGATGTACAGGAACCCCACATATCTTCTGGCCAACATTTAGGAATTCCATGGAATTCCAGTCGATTCTCCCTGGAACATCCATCCAGTGATCATGAAACCATCCAGCTTTTGGGGCACTGTCAATGCCCCAAACAGATCAACGGCACCAGGTGTCTTTGCGAGGCCCGGTTTGAATGGAACCAGTCATAGGGACTTTACAACCAAGACTTGGGGAATTTTCGGGGTTTATACAATAGACTCTACGAATCTTGGCTTTGTCCCAAAATGAGGTATCCACCAAATGGCCGTTGAATGGGGTATCCATGAGTGTATGAAGCAATGAAGCATGACACTTTTCAGGACACTCTATGTTCAAAGCAACTTAATTCAGTTGAAGGTTTTGGACCCTCCGAGGTTAGCTGGTTGGTGGCTTAAAATCTCAGATATTCCATGGGCAAATCTGCAATTCATCTGGAAGATTTGGACGGTCCGATGACTTGTTCAGGATTCACCAACTGCACGGATTTGACGAAGTCTACGAAGTTATCATGTTCATTGGGGGAGCAGAACATCCTGCAAGTTTCATCTATGAACTAATCATGGAAACAATGTGATGCAGCGATGCATATTAATGGTACCATTTGTTTCTCGGACAATGGTGCAAAGAGTATAGGGAAACGATGGGTTTTGTGCACATTAAACCAGCGGGCCATGAGACAGTTTCAATGCCCGAATTTCGTAGGGGTGTCCTGGGCATCATGGTGAAAGAACCAGAAAGGGACGCAAGTGTCGATTGGAGTACCACCTTTGGAGGAAGTGCTGAAGAGCAAAATTGGTTTGAACATTGGGTCATTCAGCTATGAAGTGCTACCAAATCCGAAAGTCAGCAAAGACCATGCTGGTATTTTGATTTTTGCTGGGACGGGCTGACACCGCAAAGTATTTGTCTTTTTCAAGACCGGATCAGCACTAGAAGAGTCATAGAATTCAAATGTTGACCTTCATCAGCGACTGTTGACAAAAGAATCCACCCAACAGGACCCAACAGACCATATGACCATACAGGGTACCCTCCGCTCAAGGCGTGGAACATACACCATTTAGACTCATTGACGTCCATGGTTTTTCCATGTTTATCCTCTGAGTTCGATGTTTTGAGTGAAAACACCTCCTTTCGTGGGGATTTTCCACAGAATTTCAGCCCTTTCAGCCACCAGGGCCGGGCTTCGATGATCATCCCTTTATGACTGGCAAGCTCCTTCTGTTGATTCTCATATGTATGGCTCCGGCAGCTTGGCGCATCGTGGCATCGTGGCATGCCCAAGGACTTGGACCTTGGACCTTCGTGGTGGGTTTACCATCCCCAAGTGAGGTATTTCTGGCGGCTTGTAGCAGTGGTCATCAGTTTTATTCATGTCTTAGGGATTTAGGGGGGGTACAGTTCCATCAATTTGTGTGGGTTATAAAATGTTATAAAACCATATAAAACCATAGTTGTCATAGGGGCCCCATTGCCCCATATCCCAATTTTTGGAGGTGAGAATCCCATTTTTTATGAATATCTGAAGAACTCCAAGTGGCACCCGCAAGTCCGCAAGAAACATCAAGTAACATCAAGTAACACATTAATTAAGTGGGTTAATAAGCATTAAATCATTAAGTCCCCATTGGCCCCAATCCCTATTAATATGCCCTGTGCTGCACAACACACCCAAGTTTCCGTAAACTCGATGGCTTTGAAGGTGCAGCTTCAATCCAGCAACGCCGCCGCCGCTTTAGCGGCGGGTTTTTGTTGCTACAACAATACGTTAATAACATGGTATAACCATGAAATATGGTGATGGTTTCCCATGAAAAAAATGGTGATGAAACTGATGACACCATCAAAAGAGACCAGTGAAGAATCAACCCAGAAAGACCAGTGATCTTCGGAAGGGATCGCCTCAGGTACCCTGGGCAAGGATATACAACCAGGACCACAGTGGCTCAGCTCAGTTTCCCCGTACCACCATTGCGATCGAATTACTATGATTCGTGGGTGGATCATCTAATACTAATTAATCCTATAGATCATCTAAATAATCTGATCCTACATGTTTGGGTGGTTCTGGAGGTTGGCGCGAAATTCCGACCGAATTCTCAGGGATTCATTTTCTTTGGTGTTCAGTGGTCTATCAAATTTCACCAAAATGAGGTGAATCCACTGTTGATCCAGTAGACCTGTGCCACATCCATTCCGTTTAGGTCTGGCCCAGTGTACCGTCGCCGGTGTCCTGGGTGTCTTTGCAGGTTGGATACATCTGGGGTCGATCCCTGCTGAAGATGTTGATTTTCCCAACGGGAAAGCCACTGGGGAGTCGAAAAAGGAAAAGCTGTTGACTTTTTGGGGTTCAGCAAATCCAAAGGGTAGTAAATCATGATTAAATGATGGTGAAGATATGTGAAGATATGTGAAGATGATGTTCCACAAACACTTGGGATGCAGGGCAATTAACCCGATTCTTGGACAAACCTACATCTTGATCTAAAAGGTTGTAGAGCGCTGTTGGATGCCGGTGGTAAATTTCACATAGAACCTGAATACTGGGGTCCCAAAGATTATCGCATAATGGTAAATAAGTCAATTGTCATTTGGCCTATCGCCTATATACATTATTTGGGGAGTACTTGGGGATCTTTGGAGGACAATATCATCACCGTTGTGTATCAACCTTATTGATAAGGAAAAACAGAATCTATGAGATCTATGAGCATGTGCAGTCTAAAGTCGGCTTGGTGGTTTCAAGCCTGTCTTGTTTTGTTCGAGCGGTAAATCTGCCAGAAATATTGGATGGATTGTCATTGTCCAATCTCGAAGCAGTTCTTGCCTCTTCTTGCTACACATAGTGACATGTCATCTTCTGGAGTTGCAAGTTCGTAATTGAGGCAACACTATTCGAATGAATATCCCCATGTCGTTTCTGTGCAAAAGTGACAATGATTCGGGCCGTTGGGTGTGGCCAATCTCCATGCACAATCTCCATAGAAAGTATTGCGTCCCAGCATCGATGGTTTCATGAAGTTTCCCGACATTCTGGCTTTTAAACTAGTTCAATTCTATTTCATCTGGTTGGTGGTTTGGAACATTTGTTATTTTTCCATAATATATTGGGAATCATCATCCCAACTGACTTTCATATGTTTCAAGTCATGGTTCATCCATGTTTATCTCCATCAATTGGATGGTAGCCAGTAGTTCCCACATGGACAGCAGGTCTGATGGCCTATTGGGTGAGATACCACTACTTCCCCTTGCAGGCCGAGAAGGTGCCAAAGATGGGGGAAGAAAAACAGCCACGGTGTTCATTGGAAAAAAACAAGGATAACTGAACCATTCAAAATAGCATAGTTGATAGGTTATGAAATGGGGATTATACTATATATTACTATTTGGCTTTAATGGGGATTATAATAAGCCATAATGGGGATAACTCTAAGACAACTAAGATAACTTATTGCAGAAGTATGAAGTTCTATGTGGGCGATCCAAGGTTCGCCATGTATAGTCATATTTGTCAACAGCTGGGTCTGCAGTGTTTCTGACTAGCAGTGGGTGAACATGCTCATCTTGACAGGCTTTGACATGGTTTGCTAAGTGCTTCCAAATTAGCACGTAATCATGTAGGCTTTTGCTGACCAATGGACTGAGTGTTTGGTAATTTCTAACTGATGTGCTCGTATGTGCATTGAGGGGATGCAATGCGCCTTGGTTTTATGAACCAAAGTTACTGCTAATTTCACCTTTTCATAATTTCTCTACATATTCTATGATTTTATGACTTTCTATGATTTTCTATGATATCCTTCCGAACATCATGACAACTGCGCATCTACCATTTGTCAGAAAGCAAGCTTCCGATTTCCAACCACAAAGAGTTTTGATGTTGTCTGTTGTACAGCACTCCCAACCCCAAGCGGGTTGATGGGTATAAGGGTTGAGTGGTATATGTATGAATATGCATGGTTGTTGTACACTACCGTTCCTGATGATATTGAGTGGAAAAATATGACAACTGATCAAAGAAAGCTGGTTGATATATTCAGGGTGAACAGCGGCATGATTACTTGATAGACAAAAAAACCACTCAGTCATATCCAGTTTCTATAGATTTCCTTGGATAAAAAATCCAAATACCCTCTGGTTATGACTAACATAGCCATGGTATAGATGGCCCATTTATACATATATATATATATGGTTTACCTATTGAAAATGGTGGATCTTTCCATGGCTATGTTAGTCATAACCAGAGGGTAAATTCTATAGATGTTTGATTTTTCATGTTTTATGGATGATTTCCCCATGAAACTTTCGGACGCTTTCCGAGCCCTGCATGTCGAGGAATGGTGCGTCTCCAAGTGGTGTCTGGTGAGTGGGTCAGACTCCTCAGTGGTCTGGAGAGCAGTTCAGAAAAGCCTGGGATTTCAATGGATAAATATGGATAAATATGAAAAATATGGATAAATATGGATAAATATGGATACATATGGATACATATGGATACATATGGATTTATATGGATAAATGGGGTTTACATCATGACCAGAAAAAGGAGGGCCATTTATTTAGGTTTTTTTTTTAGTTTAGGGATTTTTTTTGGATTTCTTCCTGCTTACTCTATTGCCTCCTGCAGTGCTTCTCTGCTTCTTTGCTTTTTTGCTTTTTTGCTTCCCTTGCTTTTCTTTGCTTTTTTGCTTTTTTGCTTCCCTTGCTTTTCTTTGCTTTTCTTTGCTTTTTGCTTTTTTGCTTTTCTCGCTTTTCTGCTTTTCTTTGCTTTTCTTTGCTGTTCTTGCTTTTCTTTGCTTTTTTGCTTTTTTGCTTTCCTTGCTTTTCTTTGCTTTTTTGCTTTTCTCGCTTTTCTGCTTTTCTTTGCTTTTCTTGCTTTTCTTTGCTTTTTTGCTTTTTTGCTTTCCTTGCTTTTCTTTGCTTTTTTGCTTTTCTCGCTTTTCTGCTTTTCTTTGCTTTTTTGCTTTTCTTGCTTTTCTTTGCTTTTTTGCTTTTTTGCTTTTCTTTGCTTTTTTGCTTTTCCATGAGGTGTGGAGCAACATCAACAACAACAACAACACCAACAACAACAACAACAACAACAACAACAACAACACCAACAACACCAACACCAACAACAACAACAACAACAATAACAACACGATCAACACAAACACAACCGCCAGCAACAACACCACCACCACCACCACCAACAACAACAGCAACAACAACAACACCACCAACAACAACAACAACAACAGCAACAACAACAACACTAACACAACACTAACAACACTAACAACACTAACAACACTAACAACACTAACACTAGCAACACTAGCAACACTAACAACACTAACGGTAACAACAACAACACTAACAACAGCAACAACAACAACAACACCACTAAACAACAACAACAACAGCAACAGCAACAGCAACAGCAACAACAACAACAACAACAACGTTTCATCGCGAGCTTTGCACGAGAAACCCGACATCGCCCACGACAAGCTCACGTGGCTGCAGCGCAGCGACGCCGACTGCGGCAACCGGTACGGCGTCCTTCCGCTGTGCGTTGGTATGCCAGTGCAAGCACGAGAGCATCTCTACCGAAAGGAGTTCAAGATGTTGAAAGGATGCCATGGAACAGTCTGCGGGTGGTCTCGCGTTGAAACAGACACAGCGTCGGCAGACGGACCCACAATTTGGAACAAACTTCCTGAATATTTTGGCACCGCTTCCGCCTCCTGCTGCTGCTACTGCTGCCGCTGCTGCTGTTGCCTCCATAACGTAGCCCTCGCCACACCGAAACACCATGCCAAGGAAGGACAGAGCGACCAACAAAGACATCCTGCCCCGAGGCTTGCTGTCCATTCTAGATCATGTTAAAAAAAGCGAGTGCAGCTGCTGGGCCTGCTGCTGTACTGCTGCTGAGCCTGCTGCTAGGCCTGCTGCTGGGCCTGCTGCTGCTGCTACTGCTGCTGCTGCGGGTGCTAGTGCTGGTAGCTGCTGGGCCTCCACACTGCAACATCATGCTACTGAAGGACGGAACGACCTCAAAAAACATGCTACCCAGAAACTTGACGTCCCTTCTGGATTCTGGCAAAAAACAAAGCGGGTTCAGCTGCTGGGCCTGCTGCTGCTGCTGCTGCCGCTGCTGCTGCTGCTGGAGCTGGTGCTGCAAGCTCCCAAAACGTACTCTTCGCCACACTGAAACACCATGCTACTGAAGGACGGAAACCATGCTGCCCCGAGGCTTGACGTCCCTTCTGGATTTTGAAAAAAAAAGCGAGTTCAGCTGCTGGGCCTGCTGCTGCTGCGGCTCCTGCTGCTGCCACCGCTGCTGCTGCTGCTGGTGGTGCTGCTGGAGCTCCCTTCGCCACACCGAAACACCATGCTACTGAAGGACGGAACGACCTCCAAAAACATGCTGCCAGAGCCCGAGGCTTGACGTCCCTTCTGGATTCTGGTAAAAACAAAGCGAGTTCAGCTGCTGCTCCTGCTGCTGCTGCTGCTGCTAGTGGTGCTGCTGGAGCTGGTGCTGCAAGCCTCCAAAACGTACCCTTCGCCACACCGAAACACCATGCTACTGAAGGACGGAAACCATGCTGCCCCGAGGCTTGACGTCCCTTCTGGATTTTCGTTAAAAAAAAAAAAGCGAGTTCAGCTGCTGCCCCTGCTGCTGCTGCTGCTGCTCCTGCTGCATGCTGCGGGTGGTGCTGCTCAAGGTGGTGCTGCAAGCCTCCAAAACGCACCCTTCGCCACACCGAAACACCATGCTACTGAAGGACGGAACGACCTCCAAAAACATGTTGCCCCCGGGGCTTGACGTCCCTTCTGATTCTAGAAAAAACACAGCGAGTTCAGCTGCTGGGCCTGCTGGGCCTGCCTGCTGGGCCTGCCTGCTGGGCCTGCCTGCTGGGCCTGCCTGCTGGGCCTGCCTGCTGTGCCTGCCTGCTGGGCCTGCCTGCTGGGCCTGCCTGCTGGGCCGGCCTGCTGGGCCGGCCTGCTGGGCCGGCCTGCTGGGCCGGCCTGCTGGGCCGGCCTGCTGGGCCGGCCTGCTGGGCCGGTTTGCTGGGCGGTCTGCTCGGCCGGCTTGCTGGGCCGGCCTGCTGGGCCGGCCTGCTGGGCCGGCCTGCTGCTGCTGCTGCGCCTGCTGCGGCTGCTGCGGCTGCTGCTGCTGCTGCTGCAGCTGCAGCATGCTGGTTCTGCTCAAGGTGGTGCTGCAAGCCTCCAAAACGCACCCTTCGCCACACCGAAACACCTACTGAAGGACGGAACAACCTCCAAAAACATGCTGCCCCGGGGCTTGACGTCCCTTCTGGATTCTGGAAAAACAAAGCGATTGCAGCTGCTGGGCCTGCTGCTGCTGCTCCTGCTGCTGCTGCCGGTGCTGCTACTAAAGGTGGTGCTGCAAGCCTCCAAAACGCACCCTTCGCCACACCAAAACACCATGCTACTGAAGGACGAAACGACCTCCAAATCAATCGCAAGAACAAGTTCCCTGGAAGCCGGAACGTCCCTTCTGAAATCCTACTAGAAATCCTCTCTTATCCTATCTTATCCTATCCTGCTATCGTGCTAGAATCCTCTCTTATCCTGCTATCCTACTAGAAATCTAATCCAATCTAATCCAATTTTGATTGCTGCTGCTGCTGGTGGCTGCGCAAGCAAGAAACCAACAGGCAGACACCTTTTTCAGCGAGTTCAGCTGCTGGGCTTGCTGGGCCTGCTGGGCCTGCTGCTCCTGCTGCTGCTGCCGCTGCTGCTGCTGCTGGTGCTGCAAGCCTCCAAAACGCACCCTTCGCCACACCGAAACACCATGCTACTGAAGGACGGAACAACCTCCAAAACATGCGGCCCCGGGGCTTGACGTCCCTTCTGGATTCTGGAAAAAACAAAGCGATTGCAGCTGCTGGGCCTGCTGCTGCTGCTGCTCCTGCTGCTGCTGGTGCTGCTACTAAAGGTGGTGCTGCAAGCCTCCAAAATGCACCCTTCGCCACACCAAAACACCATGCTACTGAAGGACGAAACGACCTCCAAATCAATCGCAAGAGCAAGTTCCCTGGAGGCCGGAACGTCCCTTCTGAAATCCTACTAGAAATCCTCTCTTATCCTATCCTGCTATCGTGCTAGAATCCTCTCTTATCCTGCTATCCTACTGCTCCTGCTGCTGCTGCTGGTGCTGCTACTAAAGGTGGTGCTGCAAGCCTCCAAAACGCACCCTTCGCCACACCAAAACACCATGCTACTGAAGGACGAAACGACCTCCAAATCAATCGCAAGAGCAAATTCCCTGGAGGCCGGAACGTCCCTTCTGAAATCCTACTAGAAATCCTCTCTTATCCTATCCTGCTATCGTGCTAGAATCCTCTCTTATCCTGCTATCCTACTGCTCCTGCTGCTGCTGCTGGTGCTGCTACTAAAGGTGGTGCTGCAAGCCTCCAAAACGCACCCTTCGCCACACCAAAACACCATGCTACTGAAGGACGAAACGACCTCCAAATCAATCGCAAGAGCAAGTTCCCTGGAGGCCGGATCAATCGCAAGAGCAAGTTCCCTGGAGGCCGGAACGTCCCTTCTGAAATCCTACTAGAAATCCTCTCTTATCCTATCATGCTATCGTGCTAGAATCCTCTCTTATCCTGCTATCCTACTGCTCCTGCTGCTGCTGCTGGTGCTGCTACTAAAGGTGGTGCTGCAAGCCTCCAAAACGCACCCTTCGCCACACCAAAACACCATGCTACTGAAGGACGAAACGACCTCCAAATCAATCGCAAGAGCAAGTTCCCTGGAGGCCGGAACGTCCCTTCTGAAATCCTACTAGAAATCCTCTCTTATCCTATCCTGCTATCGTGCTAGAATCCTCTCTTATCCTGCTATCCTACTGCTCCTGCTGCTGCTGGTGCTGCTACTAAAGGTGGTGCTGCAAGCCTCCAAAACGCACCCTTCGCCACACCAAAACACCATGCTACTGAAGGACGAAACGACCTCCAAATCAATCGCAAGAGCAAGTTCCCTGGAGGCCGGAACGTCCCTACTGAAGGACGAAACGACCTCCAAATCAATCGCAAGAGCAAGTTCCCTGGAGGCCGGAACGTCCCTTCTGAAATCCTACTAGAAATCCTCTCTTATCCTATCCTGCTATCGTGCTAGAATCCTCTCTTATCCTGCTATCCTACTGCTCCTGCTGCTGCTGCTGGTGCTGCTACTAAAGGTGGTGCTGCAAGCCTCCAAAACGCACCCTTCGCCACACCAAAACACCATGCTACTGAAGGACGAAACGACCTCCAAATCAATCGCAAGAGCAAGTTCCCTGGAGGCCGGAACGTCCCTTCTGAAATCCTACTAGAAATCCTCTCTTATCCTATCCTGCTATCGTGCTAGAATCTTCTCTTATCCTGCTATCCTACTAGAAATCTAATCCAATCTATCCTCTCTTATCCTATCCTGCTATCGTGCTAGAATCCTCTCTTATCCTGCTATCCTACTAGAAATCTAATCCAATCTAACCCAATTTTGATTGCTGCTGCTGCTGGTGGCTGCTCAAGCAAGAAACCAACAGGCAGACACCTTTTTCAGCGAGTTCAGCTGCTGGGCTTGCTGGGCCTGCTGGGCCTGCTGCTCCTGCTGCTGCTGCCGCTGCTGCTGCTGGTGCTGCAAGCCTCCAAAACGCACCCTTCGCCACACCGAAACACCATGCTACTGAAGGACGGAACAACCTCCAAAACATGCGGCCCCGGGGCTTGACGTCCCTTCTGGATTCTGGAAAAAACAAAGCGATTGCAGCTGCTGGGCCTGCTGCTGCTGCTCCTGCTGCTGCTGCTGGTGCTGCTACTAAAGGTGGTGCTGCAAGCCTCCAAAACGCACCCTTCGCCACACCAAAACACCATGCTACTGAAGGACGAAACGACCTCCAAATCAATCCAAGAGCAAGTTCCCTGGAGGCCGGAACGTCCCTTCTGAAATCCTACTAGAAATCCTCTCTTATCCTATCCTGCTATCGTGCTAGAATCCTCTCTTATCCTGCTATCCTACTGCTCCTGCTGCTGCTGGTGCTGCTACTAAAGGTGGTGCTGCAAGCCTCCAAAACGCACCCTTCGCCACACCAAAACACCAGCCTACCTGAAGGACGAAAAAACGACCTCCAATCTCGCAAGAGCAGTTCCCTGAGGCCGTGAACGTCCCTTCGACTCCTACTAGAAATCCTCTCTTTCCTACCTGCTGATCCGTGCTAAAAATCCTCTCTTATACCTGCTTCCTACTGCTCCTGCTGCTGCTTCTGCTGGTTCTGCTACTAGGTGGTGCTGCAAGCCCTCCAAAACGCACTTCCGCCCACCAAACACCATGCTACTCGAAGGACGAAACGACCTCCAATCATCGCAAGAGCAAGTTCCCTGGAGGCCGGAACGTCCCTTCTGAAATCCTACTAGAAATCCTCTCTTATCCTATCATGCTATCGTGCTAGAATCCTCTCTTATCCTGCTATCCTACTGCTCCTGCTGCTGCTGCTGGTGCTGCTACTAAAGGTGGTGCTGCAAGCCTCCAAAACGCACCCTTCGCCACACCAAAACACCATGCTACTGAAGGACGAAACGACCTCCAAATCAATCGCAAGAGCAAGTTCCCTGGAGGCCGGAACGTCCCTTCTGAAATCCTACTAGAAATCCTCTCTTATCCTATCCTGCTATCGTGCTAGAATCCTCTCTTATCCTGCTATCCTACTAGAAATCTAATCCAATCTATCCTCTCTTATCCTATCCTGCTATCGTGCTAGAATCCTCTCTTATCCTGCTATCCTGCTAGAAATCTAATCCAATCTAACCCAATTTTGATTGCTGCTGCTGCTGCTGGTGGCTGCTCAAGCAAGAAACCAACAGGCAGACACCTTTTTCAGCGAGTTCAGCTGCTGGGCTTGCTGGGCCTGCTGGGCCTGCTGCTCCTGCTGCCGCTGCTGCTGCTGCTGGTGCTGCAAGCCTCCAAAACGCACCCTTCGCCACACCGAAACACCATGCTACTGAAGGACGGAACAACCTCCAAAACATGCGGCCCCGGGGCTTGACGTCCCTTCTGGATTCTGGAAAAAACAAAGCGATTGCAGCTGCTGGGCCTGCTGCTGCTGCTCCTGCTGCTGCTGGTGCTGCTACTAAAGGTGGTGCTGCAAGCCTCCAAAACGCACCCTTCGCCACAATCCAAACAACCATGCTAACTGAAAGGACGAAACGACCTCCAAATCAATCGCAAGAGCAAGTTCCCTGGAGGCCGGAACGTCCCTTCTGAAATCCTACTAGAAATCCTCTCTTATCCTATCCTGCTATCGTGCTAGAATCCTCGCTTATCCTGCTATCCTACTGCTCCTGCTGGTGCTGCTACTAAAGGTGGTGCTGCAAGCCTCCAAAACGCACCCTTCGCCACACCAAAACACTATGCTACTGAAGGACGAAACGACCTCCAAATCAATCGCAAGAGCAAGTTCCCTGGAGGCCGGAACGTCCCTTCTGAAATCCTACTAGAAATCCTCTCTTATCCTATCCTGCTATCGTGCTAGAATTCTCTCTTATCCTGCTATCCTACTGCTGCTGCTGGTGCTGCTACTAAAGGTGGTGCTGCAAGCCTCCAAAACGCACCCTTCGCCACACCAAAACACCATGCTACTGAAGGACGAAACGACCTCCAAATCAATCGCAAGAGCAAGTTCCCTGGAGGCCGGAACGTCCCTTCTGAAATCCTACTAGAAATCCTCTCTTATCCTATCCTGCTATCGTGCTAGAATCCTCTCTTATCCTGCTATCCTACTGCTGCTCCTGCTGCTGCTGCTGGTGCTGCTACTAAAGGTGGTGCTGCAAGCCTCCAAAACGCACCCTTTGCCACACCAAAACACCATGCTACTGAAGGACGAAACGACCTCCAAATCAATCGCAAGAGCAAGTTCCCTGGAGGCGACATAGAACCCTCCTGCTGCTCCTGTTGCTGCTGCTGCTCTTCCTCCCGAAGCTGAAAACGCACCCTGCCGGACAGGGAAACACAGTGGCCCTGAAGGACGGAACAGCGCCAAAATCGAGCCCAAAAACTCCCTAACGTCCCTGCTGAAACCCTAGAAAAACAATAGTTTTCGACCAGTTTTTTTATACCACTGGTTGTACAATGAGACATAGAACCCTCCTGCTGCTCCTGTTGCTGCTGCTGCTCTTCCTCCCGAGGCTGAAAACGCACCCTGCCGGACAGGGAAACACAGTGGCCCTGAAGGACGGAACGGCGCCAGAATCGAGCCCAAAAAATGCCCAACGTGTCGTCTGAAACCCTAGAAAAACAATAGTTTTCGACCAGTTTTTGTACTATTGTTTGTACAATGAGACATAGAACCCTCCTGCTGCTCCTGTTGCTGCTGCTGCTCTTCCTCCCGAAGCTCAAAACGCACCCTGCCGGACATGGAAACACAGTGGCCCTGAAGGACGGAACAACGCCAAAATCGAGCCCAAAAAGTGCCTAACGTGTCGTCTAAAACCGTAGAAAAACTGTGTCAAATATCGCCTTCCTGCTGCTGTGCTGTGCTGATGCTGCATGGTGTGTATACTGGTGCTTGGCTGCTTTCGACCAGTTTTTTTTATACCACTGGTTGTACAATGAGACATAGAACCCTCCTGCTGCTCCTGTTGCTGCTGCTGCTCTTCCTCCCGAGGCTGAAAACGCACCCTGCCGGACAGGGAAACACAGTGGCCCTGAAGGACGGAACGGCGCCAGAATCGAGCCCAAAAAGTGCCTAACGTGTCGTCTGAAACCCTAGAAAAACAATAGTTTTCGACCAGTTTTTGTACTATTGTTTGTACAATGAGACATAGAACCCTCCTGTTGCTCCTGTTGCTGCTGCTGCTCTGCCTCCCGAAGCTCAAAACGCACCCTGCCGGACAGGGAAACACAGTGGCCCTGAAGGACGGAACAACGCCAAAATCGAGCCCAAAAAGTGCCTAACGTGTCGTCTAAAACCGTAGAAAAACTGTGTCAAACATGGCCTTCCTGCTGCTGTGCTGTGCTGATGCTGCATGGTGTACTGGTGCTCGGCTGCTGTTGATGCTGCTGCCTAGTGCTGCTAATGCTGCAAAGGCAGCCAAATGTATTATTCCCTGGCGCGCTCCCCCTTGCGTCTGCCGGGGTCGGCGGATATCACTATTATGAACAGACATGAACATACATGAACATACATACCCTCTGGTAAACTAACATAATTTTGGAAAATTACAATGTTTAATGGGTAAATCAACGAACTAAATGGGCCATTTTCAATTGCTATTTTGACATAACCAGAGCGTAGATGTCCTTTTCCCACGGGTTGATGAGGCCCCTCTTTCCAGGCGCTATTAGATGATTGATGATGGCTCCACCTGGCGATTTTGTTCAGGAGGGTCGGACCTAAAACTTGAGATAACTCAATTGGACCAATATCATTATCATCAGCAGTATGAACAATATTACCACTTCAACAACAACCAACAATAGCATGAACAATAATCTTACGCATCGTCATAATCATAATAGTAATTTAACAATAATTGTCATCATAATAATTGTTAATCTATGGTTAATAATGGTTAATAATTGGAATAACAATATATTTGGTTGGTGGTGACTGGAACATTAGTAATAACCATAATAATTATCATTAGTAATAACCATATATAAACGGCAAAAACATAACACAAAAACCGACCCTTACGCTGCCCATGCTAAGCTTGAATTACTTTGGAATCTGTTTAGTGTCCATAGCTTGGGTTCTTAGATTACACCTCCTGAACGTCAGGAATTTGATTGGGCATTGCCAAGTGAAGAATCACCAGCCAGTCAATACTATGATGTGATTTGTTTGCACACCTCCTGTGTGACCTTGAAGGTTACGATGATGACGAGTACGAGGACAGCATTTCGTTCGTTCTTTTTGCGGGGCCTTGATATTCTCTTTTTGCGCTGGATTCCCACTTACATGACTGGTAAAGATTGAACAGGTCCCGGGTTTTCCGGGCAAAATTATCGTACAAGTGCACAGTTACCTTCTCTCTTTTCGGATCATGTATTCATGTCTTACTTAATCTGGTTGGTGGTTTGGATTTTTTTTCCATATATTGGGTTAATCATCCCAACTGACTGATGTTTTTCAGAGGGGTAGGTATACCACCAACCAGTAATGTATTGCTATTTAGATGCATCAATCATCAATCCAACTTTCATGAACCCAATATTACCATTTTTATGGGATCCAAATCATCCCATAAATGGGGGGTTTCCTATATATAGGAGTACCCCAGTTATCATCCAAGTCATGGATGACCATGGCTTAGTATTGAAACCCATGGTGACGACTGGGGTAGCTGGAAGGCATGGAAGGCGTTTAAAACGTTGAAACATATATCTGGGTAAATTATAACGACCTCACTGCGACCGAACCCTGGAATCATGGTTAATAAGGGAAATCATCCCCAAATGGCCCAACTATTCAGGTTAGTGAAATATTACAATTTACCCAGATATATATTGTGTGGCTCTTTGAACATGTCCCAAATGCGTGGTTTGAGTAATCACTAGCAGCAGATTTCTCAGTGCTTGATTCTGCAAGTGCACATGATCTCATGCGGTTGGGTCCACAATCTTTTTGATTTCGTTTAAACATGTTTAAATATGTTTGCTTCAACATCTTAAAAAACGAATTTACTCAGTTCCCCTATTACCCCGGATTGGTTTCAACATGTTCTTCTTAAAATTCGTTTCAACAAACGAATGTTTCAACCGGTAACCCAGCCGGCGCCTTCAGCTTGGAACCGATGCCTCGTAGGATGATGAAGACTACTCCTACTATTCAGAGGATGATTCCCGTGACTCGGTTCAGTTTCGGCAGGGAGAAAGGCATGGATAAAGGCATGGAGAAAATCCAGCATTTACAGATGATGTTTCCTCTATATACAATTATAAATTATATGTATATATATATATATAGTGAAAACATATCCTTTTATGATAGAAAAAGTCCCAGCCAGCCATGTTTGATGACACTTTGTCGGGGTTGCCATCCCCTATTGGAAGTGCAAAAAAGGCACGTCTCAGGGGCCAAAAGAGACCAAGGCTGTGCCCTAGGAACGGTAAACGCAATCTGGTTGGTGGTGACTGGAACATGACTTTTCCTGGTTAATCTATGGTTAATCTATGGTTAATCTATGGTTAATCTATGGTCAATCATTGGAATAACAATATATCTGGTTGGTTGTTTGGAACATGACTGGATTATGACTTTCCATATATTGGGAATGGAATAATCATCCCAACTGACGAACTCCATCATTTTTCAGAGGGGTAGGGGTGAAACCACCAACCAGCAATAATTAGGAAATAACCTTTTTGACTTTTGCAAGTGGGAATCGTTAAGTCTTGCGATAATGTGGAAACTGACGGCAAAGTAGGTATGGTATGGCATGGTATGGGATTTCATGGCATGGCATGGCATGGTATGATTGTGGTATGGTTTTTATTCAGAAACAGCTACTGTACAGACTCAGAACACCTTAGAACAGCCTCTCCAGACTCGTCAACGCCTGGTACACCTGGCAATCACCTAGGCCTGCCTGTACACATGACCTGTGACAATGGATGGTATCTCCATGTAGAAAACGAATGGATCATGCCCAACCACATGCACTGTGCCATTTGTTTCGATCCAGATGGTGAGTTAGTTGAAACATGTGTTCGATTTTGATCAAGATGATGACTTGGATGAAGATGTCATGTGTGGCCATTTTATATAATTAACCCACATGAACAAGCAAATTCAAGTCATTTGGCGATTTTGGATTGGGTCAACAGTTTTGTAATACTTAGTTTTGACCCAATAATTGGGTACCATTGGGTACCATAATTACCCAATGGATTTTGGATTAACCCACATGCCATACATCATAATACCATATTTAGATGTGCTGTAAACATCCATCAATCCCGCTAGGGCCGCTAGGGGCACCACCCAGCGGACCATAGGGGACCCAGGGGACCCAGGTGTGATGACAGCCCAAAGGGTGAACTTCCCTACGGGACGCTTCAAGTGGGGACTCCCAATGGATTTTTGCATGGATGATCCATGGATGATGTGGAACTTTGTGGAATGTATCATGAAAAATCAAAATTACTTTACTTCGTGTGATCCCCACCATGACATTTATCGATTTGTTACTGGCAAATCTTCTGGCATTCTATCTGACATATCTTCTGGCATTCGATCTGGCATACCTTCTGGCATTCTACCTGGCATATCTTCTGGCATATGTTCTGGCATATCTTCTGCCATCCTATCTGGCAAATCTTCTGGCATTCTATCTGGCAAACATTCTGGCATACCTTCTGGCATTCTATCTGATATTCTATCTGGCATACCTTCTGGCATTCTATCTGGCATATTTTCTGTCATATGTCCTGGCATATCTTCTGGCATTCTATCTGGCATTCTATCTGGCATATTTTCTGGCATATCTTCTGACATCCTATCTGGCATTCTATCTGGCAAATGTTCTGGCATTCTATCTGGCAAACATTCTGGCACTTTATCTGGCATACCATCTGGCATATCTTCTGGCATACCTTCAGGCATTCTATCTGGCATATCTCATGGCATATCTTCTGGCATTCTATCTGACATTCCATCTGGCATATCTTCTGGCATTCTATCTGGCCGTTGAGGTCCAGCGGTGCACATTCTTTCTAACTTTCTTCTGCACATTCTTTGTCCCATATCTTCCTACATGAGGTCCGGCAGGGAACACTGGGGCGTGGATACTCCGGTTGAGGTCCGGCAGGGAACACTGGGCGTGGATTGGTCGTGTTGAGTGTCGCGGCATGGAACACTGGGCGTGGATGGTCTGGTTGAGGTACGCATGAACACTGGGGGGGATGGTGTGGTTTGAGGTCGCGGCAAAGGGAACACTGTGCGTGGATGGTCGTGGTTTGAGGTCCGACAGCAGAACCCTGTGCGTCGATGTTCGCGTTGCAGCAGGAGGAAGGGAGAGGAAGGAGGAGAGTGAGAGGAGGAGAAGGAGCAGCAACTGACCTAAATCTAACAACCCTCACCTGGCATGTGGGAACACCTATGCATGAACATAGTATGAATATAGTATGTAATCACACATAGTCCCAATATAGGATTAATTAAATTATATTAATACATATAATATATAATATAGACCTTATTGCATGGATGGATGGATGGATGGATGGATGGATGGTTGGTGGGTTGGTGTGTGGGTGCGTGGGTGGGTGGGTGGGTGGATGCTAGGCCTAAGTGGAAAGCATTGACAGCAGCTTGCCTGGTGGATTTTGACTGCCATAGTCTGACATTGCCAGTTGCCGGGCAGGCTTTCAACTCATTTAACCAGGGTTTACGGTGGAGATGTCAAGATTTCGCTGGGTTTATGAAGCAACAAGTGAGGTGGTGGTTCAACTATCTTCCCGAAACTGCCAGGTTTCAGCCTGAGTCTTAAAGTCTTAAGTCCCAAAGACAAGAAACATCCAAATTAATAAGTGGATATATGGCCACAATATGGCCACAATTATAGGGGCTATAGACCAATTCATGGGGCTAAAGTCACCAAGCTGTCAGTATCTCGGCCGAACAGGTCTAGGTTTACCGCCGTCTTCGAGGCGAAGATGGTGGAGGACGTTGGTCGCTGAGATTTTAAGTGGGTCTAGGCATAACGAATCAGACACATTTACCCGATGATTCCTTATGTAGATAGCTAGATAGATAAATAGATAGACACATAGATAGATAGATAGATAGCTAGCTAGATAGCTTGATAGCTAGATAGCTAGATAGCTAGATAGCTAGATACATAGATAGATAAATAGATACATAAATAGGTTGATAGATAGATAGATAGATAGATAGCTAGATAGCTAGATAGCTAGATAGCTAGATAGCTAGATACATAGATAGATAAATAGATACATAAATAGGTTGATAGATAGATAGATAGCTAGATAGCTAGATAGATAGATACATAGATAGATAAATAGGTTGATAGATAGATAGATAGCTAGCTAGATAGCTAGATACATAGATAGATAAATAGATACATAGATAGATAAATAGATAGATAAATAGATAGATAGATAGATAGATAGAGATAGCTAGATAGCTAGATAGCTAGATACATAGATAGATAAATAGATACATAGATAGATAAATAGATAGATAAATAGGTTGATAGATAGATAGATAGATAGCTAGATAGCTAGATACATAGTTAGATAAATAGATAGATAAATAGATAGATAGATAGATAGCTAGATAGCTAGATAGCTAGATAGCTAGATAGATAGATAAATAGATAGATAAATAGATAGATAGATAGCTAGATAGCTAGATACATAGATAGATAAATAGATAGATAAATAGGTTGATAGATAGATAAAATATATAGATAGCTAGATAGCTAGATAGCTAGATAGATAGATACATAGATAGATAAATAGGTTGATAGATAGATAGATAGCTAGCTAGCTAGATAGCTAGATACATAGATAGATAAATAGATAGATAAAGAGGTTGATAGATAGATAGATAGCTAAATAGCTAGATACATAGATAGATAAATAGGTAGATAAATAGATAGATAAATAGGTTGATAGATAGATAGATAGCTAGATAGCTAGATAGCTAGATAGCTAGATACGTAGATAGATAATTAGATAGATAAATAGGTTGGTAGGTAGATAGATAGATAGATAGATAGCTAGCTAGCTAGCTAGATAGCTAGATACATAGATAGATAAATAGATAGATAAATAGGTTGATAGATAGCTAGATAGATAGATAGATAGCTAGCCAGCTAGATAGCTAGATACATAGATAGATAAATAGATAGATAAATAGGTTGATGGATAGATAGATAGATAGATAAAGAGGTTGATAGATAGATAGATAGCTAGCTAGCTAGCTAGCTAGATAGCTAGATACATAGATAGATAAATAGATAGATAAATCCGCCCGCACCGAAGGTGCTGGGGCGTGATCGTCCGGATGGCATTCGTAAAAGGTTACAGGTTTACCTGGGGGGGGGGCATTTTTTCGGCCAAAACCTCCTGTTTTTGATAGGTCGTGACGCTCGCCTTCAAAAAACACTGTAAAAAACAGTACGGAAGACACCTGTTCGTGAACGCGCCCGTCCAAAATCGGCAAGCGAAAAGTGAAAAAACCCTGTGTTTTTCAACTTTTTGACCTCAATTTTTGGTTTGCAACATCTTTTTTTGCGGTTCCGCAGGTGGCCTGGCCCGGAGGCGGATTTTTGACTTTTTGGACCCGTTTTCGGACTGATTTTCGTCGTTTTGTGATAGCAGAAACACTGGTTTTTACAGTGTTTTTCTGTTTTCTGCATGCTTGACGGCTAGCTGCTTCAAAACTTCCAAAAACCTCGTAAATTACGCTGTTTTATGTTACGGTGTGAATGAAAACATCGTAAATACCAGTGTTTTTTGACGTTGGTTAAAAAAACACTGTAAATTACAGTGTTTTTGGCCACCTGACCCTCAAAAACCATGGTATTTGCAGTGGTTTCTGCTTCTCACCGCGCAAAACACTGTAAATAACAGCAATTTCGCCGTTTTTTCATGTTTTCGTTATTTTTTGAACTGCGTTGGTCCGCTATACATGGCTATCAAATTCTTCGCGTTTTTTTTTCCGACAATCAGTACTTTCGGATGTTTTTGGTCTCAATGGCCGACATCATTGGCAGTTACGAGCGCTCGCGAAGGTGTGAGAACAACATCGTTCAAACTTCAAACCGTGGCGGCCGCACAGGGGTTCTTGTCGCGGAGCGACGGCAATAGAAGAGAACCATGGCAGTAGAAGAGAACGATGCGGTGCGGGCGGTTGCCGTCGCGATTGATAGATAGATAGATAGATAGCTAGCTAGATAGCTAGATACATAGATAGATAAATAGATAGATAAATAGGTTGATTGATAGATAGATAGATAGATAAATATATAGATAGATAGATAGCTAGATAGCTAGATAGCTAGATAGATAGATACATAGATAGATAAATAGGTTGATAGATAGATAGATAGATAGCTAGATAGCTAGATAGCTAGATACATAGATAGATAAATAGATAGATAAATAGGTTGATAGATAGATAGATTGATAGATAGATAGATAGATAGCTAGATAGCTAGATACATAGATAGATAAATAGGTAGTTAAATAGATAGATAAATAGGTTGATTGATAGATAGATAGATAGGTAGATAGATAGATAGATAGCTAGATAGCTAGATAGCTAGATACATAGATAGATAATTAGATAGATAAATAGGTTGGTAGATAGATAGATAGATAGCTAGCTAGATAGCTAGATACATAGATAGATAAATAGATAGATAAATAGGTTGATAGATAGCTAGATAGATAGCTAGCTAGCTAGCTAGATAGCTAGATACATAGATAGATAAATAGATAGATCAATAGGTTGATAGATAGATAGATAGATAGCTAGCTAGATAGCTAGATACATAGATAGATAAATAGGTTGATTGATCGATACATAGATAGATAGATAGCTAGCTAGCTAGATAGCTAGATACATAGATAGATAAATAGGTTGATAGATAGATAGATAGATAGATAGATAGCTAGCTAGATAGCTAGATACATAGATAGATAAATAGATAGATAGATAGCTAGATAGCTAGATACATAGATAGATAAATAGGTAGATAAATATATAGATAGATAAATAGGTTGATAGATAGATAGCTAGCTAGCTAGATAGCTAGATACATAGATAGATAAATAGGTTGATAGATAGATAGATAGATAGCTAGCTAGATAGCTAGATACATAGAAAGATAAATAGATAGATAAATAGGTTGATAGATAGATAGATAGATAGATAGATAGATAAATAGGTTGGTAGATAGATAGATAGCTAGCTAGATAGCTAGATGCATAGATAGATAAATAGATAGATAAATAGGTTGATGGATAGATAGATAGATAGATAGATAGATAGATAGATAGATAGATAGCCAGCTAGCTAGCTAGCTAGATAGCTAGATACATAGATAGATAAATAGATAGATAAATAGGTTGATTGATAGATACATAGATAGATAGATAGCTAGCTAGCTAGATAGCTAGATACATAGATAGATAAATAGGTTGATAGATAGATAGATTGATAGATAGATAGATAGATAGCTAGATACATAGATAGATAAATAGATAGATAAATAGGTTGATTGATAAATAGATAGATAGATAGCTAGATACATAGATAGACAAATAGATAGATACATAGGTTGATAGATAGATAGATAAATAGATAGATAGATAGATATATAGATGGATAGATAGATAGATAGCTAGCTAGATAGCTAGATACATAGATAGATAAATAGATAGATACATAGGTTGATAGATAGATAGATAGATAGATGGATAGATAGATAGATAGATAGATATGGAGAATTGGTAGCCCACCTGGGCCAACCTACTCGGACATCGACCTGGCAGGTGATCGAAAATGACAAAGACGAGGAGACGTCTCAGCATCGTCCCGGGACGCCCAACGTCGTGCCCTGGAGATGGCGCATGTCATGGGATGTTCAGTAGGATTTAATGGCATTGATTGGGAATTTCATGGGAATTGATTGGGATTTTACTGGGGATTTAATGGGATCTAATGGATTTTGAATTGATGTAAATCGGATTGAATTGGTTTTCATGTTGATTTCAGAGGATTTCGTGGGATGTCACGGGGATATTTCATGGGAGATATCACCAAAATCTTGGGGGTATGATCCCTAGGCCAAGGTGCTGCGGATTTTTGTTGGGGACTTTGCTGGTTTTTACTGTTACCCTCTGGTAAACATTTACAAAAAACTATGGAAAATCACAAATTTTAATGGGAAAACTCACTATTTCTATGGGCCATTTTCAATAGCAAACTGTTATAAATTACCAGAGGGTATTTTTTACACCTTTGCAGGTTCTCAACTCTCAATTTCAGAAACATTGCAGCAAGGGCGTCTCAAAATGGGTTTTGCCTACCTCCATTGTATGGCCATGTTTTGTTGGGTTTTTTTGTTTCTGATTCACCAGAGACGTTTCCCCCCTGATAGATTCATCTACCTCCACCCACTGTTCACCCCATGAGGTGATTGAGCAGAAGCCTGAAAAGAAGGTAAAGGTGGTGGTGCAGGAGGAAGCCGTTGATACCTCGAAGCCGACGGATGATGAGAAGACCCGGGTCTTCCCCGTGGACTTTGAACGCTGGACGTCCAAGTGGCACAGTGCTGTCTCGGAACGGGGGATTGGCGAAAGTTGGGAGCTCCCAATTTTTTTGGGATGAACATGCAGTGGTATCGATAAATGATAGTTAAAATGCGTCCAAATCGGTGGTAAGTTATATGTTTCTACATTTTTTTTGCAGCTAATTATAGGATTGAACATCAGCAACACCAGCAGCTGGATATCCCGCCGGCCAAGGTCGGACCTTCCATCGAGATAAGGTGGTTTTTACCAAGGATGTTGGGATGGCCCAGTGGGGGTTTCTGATCCCGGGCTGAATGGAGGAAGCGGTGATTAGATTCTGGTTATGGCACCACATTCCCCGCGTTGCGGAGCCAGGAGCTATGAATTGAGTTTCCTAACCACATGATAGTTAACGGAAATGCTGTGTGAAACTGTGTTGTATAGAATGGCGTAAGATGGCTGAAGCCCAATAGTCAAGATTGGAGAAACTCAAGTTGCACATCCGGTAATTTGGGTCTTGGTGTGCCTCGGTTATCTTCCCAGACGTTCCAAAGATAGTGTTTGTCATAGGGCGTAACTGGCGTCCTTGTCACAGTCAAAAAACATCTATGCCACATAATATATCATAAGAATGTATAATTAAAACATAATATGTGTGGACAGTCTAAGGGATGTATATAATGTTTCATATCTCTCAACCATGCCCTTGGGCCATTGGTTTTAACGAAAATGCATCACGTGGCTGTTGATAGTATGAATCATCGACCAAAATCAGTGGTGACATCTCTTGTACTCACAATGTTTGTCACGTGTTGTTTGTCTTAACATGTTTTATAGGTGTAAGTATTCCATGGATTATAAAGTAGCCAAACTGGACTGGTCCCCAGACTTTCACCAAATGAATTGCCGGAAAAAAACAGCAGCTTTATCAAAGAATCCCATGTCTCATTATACAGCTATCACTAGTGCTATCATCATTCGTGTGATTATCATCAACACATCTTCTTAGGTATGATAAGTATATATACAGTAGTAGATCATGTTTTTTAGATCTGTAATATGTTTTTTTGGCAATGGAAAAACAAAGTTATAGATTAGCTATAGATTGCCCAAAAATCATCTCAAAAATCTCAAAATATGTTTGGTATAGTATTTTTCCCAGCTCTAAACACCCTTTTTTGTTCGCCAGCTGTCAGGCCTGGGGCCGCTCAGTCGTGAAGGTGATGAATCCCACACAGCGCAAACCTGACCTGTGAGCGCCAGATGCGGCGTCAGGCGAGCTGTTTTTAAGATGGCCGAAAGTATCCTAAGTATAAGTTATCTGATTGTTGAGTTAGTTGTGTTTATGTTGTTTTTTTGGAACGATTGGCGTTTTAGTTATTTATTGGCGGGTTTTAGAATCAAATTATATATTTGTCTTGTCGGTTGTTTTATTTGTTGCTTCGCTTCAAGAAACACTGGCACCCTTCCGCAGTGGCGGGTTGCAAGGATGCGCTGATTTTTTTGGTGTGCTTAGCACCAAGTGGGTTGGTGTCCAAAGAGGGGTCTTCTCGAGATGTTTAATTTAATCAATGAGGCAATGATTTCGTGAGGTGCTACTCCATTTGCAAAAGACCCAAATAGGTAGGCAAGACTTCAATGGTAGTTAGCAGAAACGGGGCGCGTTTCAAGGTGGACTGTCTAAGACATTCCCGCCTTGACAAAGGCCGGAATTGAGATGCAAGCTAGGCCAAAAAGGATTTGAAATCTAGGCTCCAACATCATTTTGCTCAGTTCATCCGTTGAGGTGCTGCGGCTTTCAAGCATTCAACATGGAATACAACATAGATAACAACAGTGGCGTTCCTTTTTATCGGTGGCTTCGAAGATTCGTAAGATTCGTTCACGTTCAGTCATTTTGGGGATGATAATCGACTAATAAGTATATGCTTGATTATTTTTGGGGATAGGCGGAAATCGCAAGCCAGTTGATCGTTCATGTGTTGATTCCGAATTCCATGTCGCCCAACTGCAAATGCCGAACTATGCTGCCGCTCTTTGGGCTTCGGTTTCCAGCAGCGTCCACTCATCCCAATTTCATTGGTCCCAATTTGTTGAGACAGTGATTGCAGAGCCAACTGTCCGGACCCCAGTGATGCGAGTGGGACACGGGTCGGCTCAAATTAAATGACCAACTGGTGTAGGAGGGACGATGGTTTACCGAAGATATGCCGGGAACGGTTCAAAATTGAATTCTCTCCCCTACTGATTTTGGCATACTTTGGCAAGTCGTCGTGTTACACTACATGAACCACTCCATACCATTCCCACTTTGGGTTTCAAATCTTCGTAGATTGTCTAAATCTTTTTGGAATGGTATGATTGGTACTTAATCTATGTGTTCAATTTTTACTGACTAGTATTCCTAATCTCTGTTGATCATGACTAGTATTCCAATGTATTCCATACTATTCCATACCATTCCCAATCATGTTGTGTACCGAATCTTAAGCCATGCTGCCTTGAATATCTCATCGCTGGAGCAACCGACTGCTTAGATGGTGAAATGCGTGGCCTCCGGTGTCATCAAACATGGCTGCGAAAATCATCGATTTTCTGGGATCTTCCAGCCAAATGTGACCGACCATGCCCAAGTTGGCCTGGTGCCGCATATTTACTGATCATCATGCAAATCTGCAGTGTTTGGCAAATGTTCGTTACGGATTCCAAGCATAGGCATGGGTAACCGCACAAAAAAACTCGATGGCGTTCCTATAATTACTCGAAGCTATCACAATGAATCAGGAGTTCCAAGATTCAATCCTTGCCACTAAGAGCAGAATCAGTCAGTTGGACCAATCCCAATGGATGTAGAAACAAACACAGGAAACCATGCATTGATCATCAAATATCGATCCATCCCGCGTTGCTGTGTTTTGCATGGTATCCCCATGGTAGGTCACAGGTACCCTCTGGAAAACTAACAGTTTGCTATTGAAAATGGCCATAGAAATAGAGGATTTACCCATTAAAAATGGTGATTTTCCATAGTTATGTTAGTTTACCAGAGGGTATCCCGATTTTGGTGTGAGTATCCCCATGTTTGCTGGTAGGTTGTTCTACCATGACCGATGACACTGTTGACACTCCGAAGATGGGAGCATTCCTTTTCACCGTTTTTCGTCAGATTTCTCCTTTGTCACCCTTAGTCTCCTAAACCAAGAATAATGTATCAATATAATTCTAAATATATAATATATATATATATAAATGATAATAATAATAATAATAGTAATAGTAATAATAATAACAAGAATATATATATATATGTTTTACATATCACTTGCATCACCATGTTTTCTGATGCGTAAAACCTCATGATGTTTGTTCCTTCAAGGGATTCCGATCTGATTCCTGGGCTTCCTGGGCTTCCTGGGCTCAAGGTGCTCGGAATGGCAAGCACTGATGAGGAGGTCGGGCAGAGTTGCCATCAGCCACTCCCAAGTAACCAAGGAACAGGGTTGGGTTTTTGGCCATCAAAATATGAAGAGGCGCTACTTGACCAACCAACTTCATACTTGGTGGTCAAAGTGTGAAATCCATGATTTGCCGCCAATCAGAATCATGGTGATGTGTTCAAAGATTGAGAACCCAGAACCCAATATGACTTGGAGAGCACCCCTAGAGGTATGTGGCTCAAGGTGGTTTCATCACCCAATGGATTCCACGTCTCAGGGCTTCCCATGACCCATTCGGAGAAACAAGTGGTACCGGCGCTGCCAGACTGGCTTAAAGAGTGGCGAGAAGAGTGAAGACCAGGTCGGATCGATGCTGATGTCACTGAGTTTAGGTTTTTCTGGGTGTTGTTAAGTTTTTTTTTCTAGAGGAAACCAGGGTGCTTTTGTTACTGTCAAATAAAGATGGTTAAACTGTAGGTTTTCGAAAAAAACACTGCGGGATGGTTGAGAACCACTTTTTACTCTGAAAAAAGACGTGTTTTCTAAGCCTGGTATACACTGGGATAGAGCCATCCCCATGGGGATGGTAATCCTCCAAACACATTTCACTATGCAACAGGTTGTCCATTACACACACATGTTACATCATGTTACGGATGTTGTGTGTTATGTAGCAACCATTGTGTTTTTTTATCCATGATTTATGGTGATAGATATTATCTGGATAAATTAACTAACTAACTACCCCAACACATCCCAAAATAGCATAGTTTCAGGTTAGTGAAATAGTATAATTGACCCATAATGTTATGATCATCTTAAAATACAGCATCATATTATAATATGGCTATTATTATCATCAAATATCCATAGATATTCATAAATATTCATGATTTATGGTTATACATATCATTAAAATTGACTAAGGGTATTCGGGTGATCCATAAATATTTATAAATATCATCTGACAGCTATCATATCTATCATCAAATTATCATCAAATATCCATTATTATATCATTAACATTTACTCAATGATTACAATTATATATCATTAAGTAATGTATATATATTTATCAAAATATATCATTAAAATATCCATTATTATATCATTAACATATCATTATATATCATGTTTACAAAGCTATGGCAGCGCGGGGACTCTGCAGTGCTTTTTTCGGAGCCGGCTCCAGGACTTGGACCCTGACCGGGATCCTGAGCTGGTCGGCCCCTCAGCGCTGGAGCACGACGGCACGACGTTTCGGAAGATGATCAGTAAGGATTGCGTTAACTATCCTTAAATATCCTTAAATGACATTAGTAATGGCCTCATTTCAAGTGCGCGAAGTGATTGTTTATATATATATATATAATTATACATATATATATAATATATTCCGATTCTTTGAGTCATGGGAATTTTACCTACACAATTGGGGATTCACATGGATTCACCAACCTCATTTGTTGGGGACCTGCACAGACTCAATTGGGACCTGCGATGTGCATCCACCGATAAGAAACTTTCCATCAACTCATGTGATGATAGGGTGGTCACTATGGTGATGTGTTTATATAATTTTATATATCCATTGGCTTATATATAATAGCTCTTTCATGGACTTCTGAGATGAATAGGTTTGTCTCAAACTATGGCTACCAAATGTTGATGGTTACCACTGTCCCTACTACTTTGATGGTCATTTACCACAGCAAGCGAGTTGGGATACCCAGTGAATGACATGGTGATATTCACTTTTGTGGCAGAGGATGGCCCACAAAACTATGGGTTTCAATGACTTGCATGATTTGGGGTACCCCCCCTCCATAATTCTATACCATATAAGAGTATATAATGACATAATAGAATATATATATATATAATATATACTATACTATACATGTTTAAAACGTGCATACCAGTTTTTGGACCTGATCAGAGTGATTGTCGCCCCACTGTTTTGATCCATGTTTTGACCGCAGGCCCAGAAGAAGAATGGTGGCAGGCAGCGTGGGATCTGCAGTTGAGATCCCCATTTCTGATCACATTCCCATGGGGATCCAATAGAGTTGTTGACCAACAATCCCCATGGGAATGGCACCATTGCTGTTAGTCAACACCTCCCCAATATCCCCAATAGACCATAAATGTTACAGATTGTTCATAAATCCCCAATAGATGATGCATCATACGTAAATTTACGTATTATGTCAAAAAGGCATTTAAGTTTATCAATCTGTAACATATATGATATTTCCTCACACATCATCACACACATGTACACCAGTTTGGTATTGAAACAACCAATTACCAAGGTTTTGGGGATCAGCCCATTTCAAGACACGGCGCCATTAGTAGGAGAATGTGGATGAAGCAATGGATGTTGGGGATCACCCCACTTGAGATATAATTACCATGATATAACATGATATATCATCAGCGAGTCTCGAGTTGTGATTAACATGGTATGTTCACATCTGGTTATGGTTCAAAAGCCTGGTACCTTGGTAAACACCATCTTTTTTTGCTGGTGAATGGTTGGTAATCCCCCCAGTCATATGGGGGGTTCAATGGAGGTACTCGAATAGCTGGATGGTTTATTTCAGGGAAAATCCTAATCTAAAATTAGGATGATAGAAAGGGGTACCCCCATTTATGTAAACCTCCATATGTAGATATGCAGATATCCTAGATAATGATTGATATCAGTTGGATATCTAAACTAATCATTGGATATCGGAAAATTATATTGGATAATCCATCTATTAGATATCGGTTACCATAGCTTTCCATAAACCACCCATAGTTTTTTTCAGATG